CAGTTCGGCGCCGAGGGCATGGCCCGCAAAGGCATCGACACCGGCGACATCCTCGCCCACTACTACCCCGGCGCGGAGCTGGTGCGGGCGTACTAAGCGAGCGGACACACGCTGTAGCAACCGCGACCGTGAGGGAGCGGACTACGCGTCCGATGAACTGCCAGAGCACGGCCACATCAGAGCACATGACCAACACCGTCGCCATCATCGATACAAATCGAGTCCCCCGCGCTGCCCTCGACACAATCATCAACCGCGTTCCGGTCTGGGTATTCGCCAAGGATCCGGGCCCGACCGTGATCGAGTATCTCCAATCACAAGTGTCAGAAGCCCCCCCGAACGACATCGAGTTGCCGCTTTCGTGGGCAGAAGTCCGCACAACGCACGATGAGGAGATCGTTGGCCTGCTTGATGAAGTCTCACTGCATCACGACACCGACGACGAGGATGCACAACTCGAACTGCACGGTATCCCGCGGAGCGACGCGATCATGGAGGCACTCGACGGGTGGGTGTATCAGTTCATCGACTACGACTGAGTCGTCGGTGTTGCACTGCAATTCATGGGCCCGCAGTCCGCTCCCTCACGGTCGCGGTTGCTACCGATGCCCTACCCCCCCACCCTTGGAATCACCATCACCACCGACTTGATCACCCTTCCCCCCGTCTCCTCCGCACGCGCACTGAACATCACCTCCCCCGCCGTGAGCGGGCGGCGCGCCGGCGGGCCGGGCACCGCTTCGGGCAGACCCGCGTCGGCCGACGCATCCACCGGCGCGTCCCCCGGTGCCTCCCCGTCGAACGATTCCCACACCACACCCGGCTCCTCGCACGTGATCACGTAGACGAACCCCCCGTCCAGCACCGCGCCGAAGCTGAGCGGGGCGATCACGTCCCCCTTCTCGATCTCCGTCTCGAACGTCGGCGTCTCGAACACGTCCGCGCCGGGCCGCCTCGTGAGCGGGGCGAGCTGCGTCGCGAAATCCGCGCGCAGCACCGGGCCGTCGAGCGTCCGCGCCGTCCACGCCCGCCCGAGCATCCGCAGCATCCCACGCTCCAGACGCTCGCGCCGACCGCCCAGCAAAACCGGCACGTTCTCCGCCACCCGGCGCCCGCGGTACGCCTCGCTCCACGACCCGCTCGCCGGGATCCACGTCCGGTTCCGAGACCCGTGCGTCCCGATCGCCACCGAGAGCGCGAGCGCCTCCTCCCGCGGCACGCGCACGACGCGGACGCCGTTGCCCGCCAGATCCCCCGCGTCCGCGAAGCGAAGGTCACCGCCCGCGCCGCCGTACGGCGCGAGCAGCGAGCCGATGCGCCCGCTCGTGTCGTCCGCGAACCACCACCGCACCTCCATCCCGCTCGCCGCGCCCTGCACGATCGCCGGCGCGCCCACCGAATCCCGGCGCACGTTGTCCACCACACGCGGCGCATCCCGCTGAGGTGCGCAGGCGCAGACGAAAAGCCCGAAAACCACCCACGCCGACGCGATGAGCAGATGCCGAAAAGTCACTTCGCGATGTTCGCCTCGTCGTTCACGCGGTCGATCAGCCGGCGGAGAAGGCCGATGTGGTGGCGCGTGTGCGTGAACGCCAGTCGCGGCAGGTCCATGAACTCGTCCTCGATCGGGTACGCCTCCCGCTGGACGATCTGCCCCTCGCGGATGAGCACCTCGAACTCCTCATTCAGCTCGCCGACCGCCTTGTCCGTCAGCGGCTTCTTCAGCCGGATCACGTAGTCGTCGCCGACGTACCGCGAGGAGTGGTAGTTGCGGAAGAACTCGCAGACGTACGCCGCGGCCTCCTCCGTGGACTTGGCGATGTGGAACAGGTCCATGTCCTCGGGCGAGATGAACCCGCCGCCGAGGAGGGACTTCTCGATGTAGTTCATCCAGTGCTTCCAGTAGCTGCCGTTCTCGCCCTCGACGAGGACGACGGGCACCATCGCGCTCTTGCCCGTCTGGATGAGCGTGAGCGCCTCGAAGATCTCGTCCTGCGTGCCGAAGCCGCCCGGGAAGACCGCCACGGCGCTGGACTGGCTCACGAACATGAGCTTGCGCGTGAAGAAGTAGCGGAAGTGGATCAGCTTGTCGTCGCCCAGGATGATGTCGTTCGCCGTCGTCTCGAACGGCAGGCGGATCGCCAGGCCGAAGCTCGACTCGCGCCCCGGCCCCTCGTGCCCGGCCCGCATGATCCCGTCGCCCGCCCCGGTGATGCTGAGCCACCCGCGGTCGGCCATCTCCTTGGAGAACTCCACCGCGGCCTTGTAGTCCGGGTGGTCCGGCTTCGTGCGCGCGCTGCCGAAGATCGAGATCTTGGGCACGTCGGTGTACCGCTCGAAGACGTTGTACGCGTAGCGCATCTCCTTGAACGAGGAGCGGAGCAGCTTCAGCTCGCCCCGGTCGCGCCCGTCCGTCACGAGCTTCAGCGCGTTGAGCACGAGGTCCGTGATGATCTCGCTGTCCGCGTTCGCGGGGTCCGCGCCGCACTCGATCACGAGCTCGCGAACCTTCTCCTGGAACGCCGGCAGGTCCACGGCGCGCTCCGGTCGTCTGGGCGCGGCTCCGGTCGGCGTCTCGGTCACTCGGTTCATGGTGATTCTTCCTCCCCGTCGGGGTCCGTAGGTTGTGTTGAAGGGTTGTCCGCCCCCTCGCGAGCACCGTTTCCGACGGGCTCGCCCTCGAAGATGGTAGTCAAAAACCGGCGCGTCGCCGGGAGCTGCTCCATCGTCCACGCCGGCTCCGCGAGCGTCCCCCGCACCCGCGCCGTGAAGAATTCGTCCCGCACGCCCTCCAGGACCGTGCTCACGATCGGGATCGCCCGGCCCCCGCGCGTCCGGAACGCCAGGTCGATCTCACCCGTCGTGTACCGCACGCCACCCTCGCCCGTGATCAGCAAGCTGGGCGACGTCGCCTCCAGCACGTCGAACACCAGCCGGTCGCCCAGCACAAAGAAATCCGCGTACCCAATTTCCAGACGCTCCCCGAACGGCGCCTGCAGGTTGCTCAGCTCCAGCAGAGGCAGCACGCCCGGCATCTCCACGATGTTCCCGCTCCGCACCCGCACGAGCCCCCGCCCCTCCGTCGCCCCCGTGTCCCCCAGCACCGTCTCGATCGACAGGCTCGCGTCCAGCACGCCCGTCTCCGCCTCGCTCAGTCCCCGAAGGCTCGGCGCGACGTCCAGCTCGCTCAACAGATCTTCATAAAAAGAGCTGAACGCCAGACCGCTCGCGTCGAACCGCATCCGCACCGGCTTGCGCACAAGCTCCACGCCGTACTCGTCCGCGAAGCGAACCTCCGCGTACCCCGTCACCAGCCCGCCGTGCCCGTACAGGCGCAGGCTCGGGATCGCGAGCACGCCCTCGTCCATCCCCGTCACGATGCGCACCCGCCCCGAGGACAGCCCCACCCCGGCCAGCTCGAGCGACGCCGCGTCGATCGCGATGTCCAGGTCCGGCAGCGCCGAGGAGCCGTCGTCGTAGATCGTCATCGCCGCCGTGCCGTCGATCTTCTCGATCACCACCCCCGCGCGCAGGCTCGCGTCGGTGAACAGGAGCGTCCCGGCGAACTCCGTCCGGGGCGTCCCCCCGCCGAACGCCCGCTCGACCTCGAACGACGCGTCGCGCATCTCGAAGTCCTCGCCCACATCCAGCTCCAGCGACGCCAGCGTCTTCGCCACCGGCGCCGGCAGGGCCGCGAGCACCGGCGCGCTGAGCGTCTCGCCCCGCGCCCCGACGTCGATCCGCACCGAGCCCTCGCCCTCCGTCGACCAGCCGCCGTTCAGGTCGAGCGTCCACGACTCCATCCCCGCCACGACCGAATCGATCGTCCCGCCGCGCTCGTCGAACGCGATCTCGCCCCCCGTGAACTCGATCCGCATCCGCTCCCCGCGCCGCACGATCTCGAAGACCTCCGGGTTGAACCACCCGTGCAGCCCCGCCTCGCCCGGGCGCTGCTCGACGCCGATATCGAACGTCCCGCGCGCCCCGTGCGTGTCGAGCCACTCCGCGAGCCGCGGGCTCCGCTCGCGCACCGCGTTGCGGATCGCCCCGCTCTCCACCCGCGCGTCCAGCACGCTCAGCGACAACGAATCACCCGGGCGCGCCGCGCCCCCCGCGCTGAACACCCCCTCGGCGCTCAGCCGACCGACAGGCTCGCCGCCGTACGTCAGCGCCGCGCCCTCCACCCCCGAGAAGACCGTCCGCGACCCGTTCGTGAACACCTCGCCCCCGAGCGTCGCCAGCCCCACGCGCCCCCCGAACGCCGTCAGCTCGATATCGCGACCGTTCCCGAACGACACGCCCGAACTCCCCCCCGGCCCCCCGGGATCCCCCGGATCCCCCGGCCCCGTCCCGATGAGCACGCCCACGTCCGCCACGCCCGACGGCGCGTACCGCGCCCGCGCCTCGCGCGCCGACGCCACCGCGCCCGGCACGATCGTCTCGAAGAACCCCTCCACCTCCGTGCTCAGGTCGAGCCCCGGAAGGTCGATCCGGCCCACCACGTCCACCGGCCGCCCGGCCCCGTACGTCGTGTCGATCTCCGCCCGCAGCGGAGACCCGTCGAGCTCGCCCTCCTCGATCCGGAGCGTGAGGCTCGACTCGGTCACGCGCAGCGACCCGCGCGACGTCGAGACCACCATCCCGCTCCCCGGCGGGCTGAGCGTCACGCCCCCGCCGTCCAGCGGCAGCACCACGTCCACCCCGTGCACGCCGCTCGACCCGCGCTCGCCGATCGACACCCGCACATCTCTGCCCACGCCCCCGAGCCCCAGCCGGCGCGCCACGCCCTCGGCCGAGCCGTCCTCGAGCGGGCCCACGCCCTCCCGCGGCCCCGGCAACGCGTGGAGCAGGAATTCGTCCGCCGGCGCGACATCGATCATCACCTCCACGCTCGACAGCGCGTCGCGCTCCGCCTCGTTCAGGTCCGGGATCTCGGCGCTCAGCGTCCCCCGCGCCCCCGTGAGCCCGACGAAGGCGCTCGGCTCGATGAACGCCGTCCAGTCGCGCACCACGATCTTCATCTCGGGGACCACGAGCGGGTACGGGAACAGCCGCGGGAGCATCGCCACGTTGCGCACCGTGCCGGTGATGTCCCCGCTCAGCGCGGGCGAGCGCCCGAAGGTCTGCTCGATCGTCGCCTCGAAATCCACCGTCCCGCCGAGGTCGTACACCGGCACGCGCTCCAGCTCGAGCACCTCCGCGAGCCGGATCCGCAACTCGGCGAGGTCCGCCTCCTCGTCCCCCCGACGCTCACCCCGCGCGATCTCCACCTCGAGGCCCACGCGCTCGACCTCCAGCTCCGCGTCGAGGTCCGAGCCCATCACCAGCCCGCGGGACACGAGCTCCGCGTACGACGGCGCGTGCGCGACCGAGCCGAAGACGTCGAACACGCTCTCGGGCAACGCGTCGCGGAAGTGCTCGTCCAGCGGGACGCCGTACAGCCCCACCTCCAGCGCGAGCGCCGCGTCCGTCCCGAGCGGCGCGATGGCGCCGCTCGCGCTGAACGTCGCGCCCGTCGGCCCCGTCCCCGCCACGTTCACGATGCGCACCGACTCGTCGTCGAACTCCACCTGCGCCGACACGCCGCCGATCGGGTACGGGAACGCGTCGTACAGCACGAAACCGTCGCGCAGCGAGAACGCGCCGGAGACCGCGAGCCGCCCGTCCGGCAGCCGCGCCACGCTCACCGAACCGTCCACCTCCGCGCTGGGCGAGCTGAACCGCTCGAACAGCTCGCGGATGTTCCGCGGCGCGAACGGCAAAAGCGACGGCCGCTCCTCGAACTTGAACCCCGTCGACACGATCCGCGCCACGAACGGCGAATCCGGGGCGTACCCCTGCGACTCGAAGCTCACGCGCACCGGCAGCTCCGCGATCAGGCCCTGCAGGTCCGCCCCGAACCCGCCCCGCTCGAAACGCAGGTCGCCGGCCACACGCCGCAGGTCGATCGCCTCCGCCGCCGCGCCCTCCAGCGCCGCGCCGATCCGACCCGTGATCGGCAGGTCCAGGTCCACCTCCCGGAGCGAGATCACCACGCTCAGCCCCGAGTCTTCGCCGTACGAGAGCCGCGCCTCGTCCACCGAGCCCGCGAGCCCGAGGTCCGCCCACACGTCGCGGAACCGTCGCGGCGCCGGCGCCTCGCCCCACCGCTCCAGGTCCACGTTCGTCAGCCGCGCCTCGCCGTCGAGCGTCTCGAGGTCGAACGACCCCGCCAGCGTCAGCGCCCCCGACGCCTCGCCGTCGCCCTCCGCCAGCTCGAAGCGGAGCACGCTCGGGTCGTCCGGGTCGCTGTCGAGCAGGCCCGTCACCGTCAGATCCGTCAGCGGGCTGTACGACGCGCCCTCGTGCTCGCCCAGCTCGAGCCGCCCCTCGCGCACGCGCACCGCCGGCACGCGCACCATCGCCCCGGCCCCGGACGAGCCGAGCCCCTCGATATTCAGCCGCAGGTCCTCCGACTGGCTCAGCCGGATCATCGCCCCGACGAGCTCGATCGACCGCACCGCGTCCGACGCGCCCGTCGCCGCGACGCCCAGGTCCACGTCCGCCACCGCGCGCTCCGCGAGCAGGAACTCGCCCGCGCGCCCGTCCATCCCGGGCACCCGCAGGATCAGATCACGCACCACCACCCGCCCGCCGAGCGAAATCGACACGCTCGAGCACGTCGCCTCGCACGCCAGCGCGGATTCCACCCGCGACATCACCATCCCCCGCACCGTCCCCGACCGCGTCAGGTACAACCACCCGCCGACCAGCGCGAGCCCGCCCACCAGCAGCAGCACCGCGAGCGCCCGAACGACCACCCGCCGCCTCGCCCGGTGACGGCCCGCCCCCCTATCGTGTTTCGACCGCGATCCGCGTTCCATGAACCTCCTTGGATTCTACGTCCACCGTGCGAGTTCCCCCCAATCACACCCGCCGACGCGCCTTCACCCTCATCGAGCTCCTCGTCGTCGTCGCCGTGATCGCCATCCTCATCGGCATCCTCCTCCCCGCCCTCGGGCGCGCCCGCCAGACCGCCCACGCCGCCGCCTGCCTCAGCAATCTCCGCCAGATCCACATCGCCTCCCAGGCCTACGCCAGCGATTCCAACGGCGTCGGCCCCGCCATCGGAGCACCCTGGAACGAGCCCCCCAACTGGGCCGCCGTCGCCCTGGACTACCTCGGACGCGCCGAGGACGACCCGTACGCCGAAGAATCCGTCACCGTCTGCCCCAGCGCCGACCTCGCCTACGCCCAACCCATGACGCGCACCTACGCCATGAACGCGACGGGCCACGCCGGCCTCGACGACGACCCCGACTCCTTCGACGAGCCCAGCGCCCACATCCGCTTCGACAAGGTCCGCCGCCCCTCAGAGACCCCCGTCTTCCTCGATTCCGCCGTGGCCTTCATCCCCGGCAACGCCCCGCCCCCCACCCGCACCTCCAGCACCATCGACTTCCGCCAGGAGGGCCACGTCTCCGCCCGCATCGGACGCTGGCACGCCGAGGATCGCTTCCAGGCCGTCCACTTCGACGGCTCCTCCCGCGCGCACCGCGAGCCCGAGCCCCACTGGGTGGACCCGTTGCCATAACCAGCTGTAGCAACCGCGACCGTGAGG